AATTTTATTTAAATATTTTAAATAATTAAAAAAGTAGATCAGAGATATATTTATAGTAATTATGCAGCCAAATTTGCCTGCAAATCTTTACCAATTAAGGGATAGTACGGGCAAATTCCTCTAGGTTATTATACTTAGTTTTATTGTTCTCCTTTATAAGATCAAGCTCTATATCTTTGGTGAGATTTTCATGAATCTTATAAAGCTCTTCAGTTCTATTCATCATAATTGCCAAGTTAAGCATTTTTTTCATCATGCCAAATCCTTTTTCCCATTGAAATTTATGTGTCATTTCATTACAAACTGATTTGCTAAAAACATGCTTTCTACAAATACATTCTAAATATAAAAAATCAACATGTGAATAATATTTACCCATATCCAATTGGCTATTCAAGCCTGCTACAATTGATAGTTCAAGTAATATTGAGACATCAACTAATATGTCTAAGTACTATTGTTGTAGTATAAGCCCAATATGAAATTTCACAGTTTTTGAAAAAAGCATTATCAAAAAAAAATGCTGCACACAAGACCATAATTTATCAATGTTAAACATATACAAAGATGTATATTATTATTATAAATCACAATAAAGTGTATGCTTTTTTGGTCGATCAAGAAAATACACCAGAATTCGTAAATTTTTGTTTGATCAAGACCATCAATTAGTTGTTTTAATTCTATAATACTCACGTCAAACATATCTTCAGAAAACATTCCTATTAGCAACTCATTGATAACCTATAAAAATTACAAATATTAAAGTTATATTATCACTTCTTACTATTTCATCCTGTATAATTATATAATTATAATTTCTTACCTGTTGTTCAAGCTCATTTTCAAGATTAACTATATAATACTGATAATATATACTATGATTTATTTCATTTCATTGAAGCTTTAAAATTGCTGGCATTAAAAAACATTGATATGACATATTAACTATACTAAAATATTTATTACAGTACTGTTCTTCTCGATTTACTAGGAGTTAACTCATAGTCTTATTAAAGTATACAAACCGGCTTTCTTTCTCTAACAATTTTTTAATACTTTGTTCAAGCTTTTAGACAGAAGATAGTCTATTAACACAATTCTTAATTTTAGCATTATAAGACTCAACGCATTATGTGCTTTGCATACCTGCATTAAATGCATGGTGTGTAAAGCACAGAGCCCATACCTTCCTGCAATGATAGAGCTGGTGCTGCAAATAATTTGTAGTATCAGGATATTTTTGTAAAAATATAGCCCATTTTTCCTTGAAAATTGACTCTATATGACTATTGTACACATAGCAAAAATCTGCAAAAAATTCACCTCACTTTTTATGATATTTACCAAGAAAATGTTTTTCTAAATTTTTTTGGATATGGAATAAACAGAAATGGTGTTTCATTGCTGGTAAGGAATTGCTAGCCACTGCAATCATTGCAGAGTCAGTATTTGTATAGAGCAAACATGAAGCCAAATTACCAGTCGCTCTGAGAATACTTTTAAATAACTATTCATAAGTTTTCTTTGTTTTGTCAGAGACTATAGCAGCCACTATAAGGCGAGAACGGTTATGATTATCTATTAGTATCATAATACACAATATCATTGAATAGCGATTGGTTTTTGCTATAGAATCAAGAAGGACAACATCGTGAAAGCAAGCCCACAACTGCTACTGGCCTGGGCTCATTCAACAAAGCCTTGTAAGATGATTGTCCTTGCTCTCAAATCAAGTGTCAATATGAAAAGTGGGATCAGCCTGTTGTTTTCTAATAAGCTTGAGATACAATGAACCAGCATCACTTATTTCTTCTTTTTTACACCAGATTGACTGAATCAAATTATATACACTATGTTTATAAATATATTTATCTATAAATTTTTTTTATAAAATCTCGATTATCACACCAGCATGCACTCTACAACTTGCAAGAAATTTTACTTCATCACTCATCTCTAAAGTGAGCTTCCGATAATGTAGTGCAACCATATTTATATTATTGACCAGCACATAATTATGCCGACCATTAATTTTTGTTATATAGATCAAATTGTCTTCCTTGCGTCGATACCATTAATATAAAATGTGCAATCAGTAGTGTGATGGCCACTTTTACGATTATTAACAATGTGAGCTTCTTTTCAAGATACATATGGTCGACCCTTCATATATTTATAAGTATGACACCGGGAATCCTATTCTTCTTGTCTTTTTTACTATGAGTAATCATAAAAGCAAACCCACATTCTGTTCATGATTATCAACCCATTTACCAAACTCATCCCAGTCTTTAAAGCTCATATTTAATTCAATAGGATATCATAGTTCTGGAGATGAATTTGGGGGTCTTCTCTATTTTCTATAATATCATTGTCCTTTTCATTATTAGTTCGTTCAAAAAAAGTTACCAGGCTACTTGGATCAAATATATTTAAAAAAGCCTCAATGTCACTAGGCCCAAATGCATTAAGGTAAGCCTCCAGATTATCAAAATCAGGTAAATTAAAAAAATTTATCGAATCGCCAAAGTCAAATGTATAATTATCTGTGTTGCCAGATTTGGCATCAAAAAAAGTCTCCAGATTACTATAGTCAAGTGTACTAAAACAATTCACCAGAGCACCAAGGTTAAGTGCATTAGAACAATTATCTGCATCACTAAATTTGGCATCAAAAAAATTTACCTGAGCACCCAGATCGAATGCATTAGAGCAATTATCCACATTACCAGATTTGATATCAAAAAAATTCATCATATTACCAGTTTTGTAAATATTTACTGTATTACCAGATTTAAATATATCAATGAATAGCAAACGATCAATTGCAAACGATCAACTGCAAACGATTAATCAACTGCAAAGGAAAAAGACTGAAAAAAAAATTTAATTACAAACAAGCAAAAAAATAAAACTGAAAAAAAAAGTAAAATAAATAAAATTTTATTAATACTACTAGTGTTAACACCAGTAGTGTAATTAATAAGCGATTATTATTCAATTATTTATTATAATCACATAATTTTCTAATCTACTTTCCGATACTAGTGTTGAACACCAGTGGTGTAATTTAGTAAAACCGATTTAATAATAGCATGTTTTTAAAAAAATATGCTTATAAAGAAAATATGTTTATATAGAAGATAACTATAGAGAGGTCAGACTGTATATATATATGTATAATTATATCAGCAAAATATATAAACAAAATCTTGTATAAGATATTATAGCCTATAATATTATGCAATAATTATGGTCTAGACAGAATATTTCAAAATAAATTACGAAATATTATGCAATTTATTATAGAATATTACGTAATTTATTATGGAATATTACAAAATATATTGTAAAATATTTCAAAATAATTTACAACTATGCAAAATAATATTATATAAGTAGCAGTAAAAAATTAGAGAAATATTTTGCATTATTCGAAAGTTTTTTTATATATTATAAAAATTTATTTATAAGATTTATTAAACAATTAATTTATTACACCTGTATAAAACAATACTATATATTTCATATCAACTATCTAATAAAACTACTCTAACCTTAATCCTAACTAGCAATAAAGTAATTAAATCCAAAACACTAACACTAATAATAATGAATATTACAACTTAAAATGATGACAATACTAAGGTCTTCAACAATGACAACAAGACTAACTAAAAGTAACAAAATCAAAAGCAGTTCCAGTTTCTGAATTGTTGTCATTCTAACACTTTACCAAAACACAAACTTATAAGTAAGAAACATTAATTGCTGATCCGGATAAAATTGGCACAAATTTACTATACAAATTTGGGGTAAATTTGTTAAATTTTTATATGAAGCGATAAAGAATACACAAAAATACCAAAAAGGCAAAGTACAATAAAATCATCAAAAGCAAGTTTTTATCGCATGAGTAACTTAGTTAAAAGGCTTTAAAATCGTTTTATGACAAAAAAAAATCACTACTAGTTTGTAAAAAAAAACTTTGCTTTGGAGTGGTGTCAGATTTCGAACTAAACCAAATCGTGAAGATTTCAATTGCAATTACATAGAAATCAGTAATGAAAAAAAAAAAAAAAAGGCTAACCATGACAGCCTAAAAGAAATGACAAACACAAAAAAAAAAAAAGAAACTGCAATATATATTCGGGTAGGTGTATTTATTACAAACATATAGCTTTATTTTTCTTTTTCCTTCAAAGAACGTTCTGCCATTGCTTTCTTCCATGCTCTTGAAAAACCACTTATCCAGTTTGAAATTGTTGAAACTTCAGGTATGTCAACCTCATTAATTTCACCTTCCTGGGAACGTCTTAGTAATTCTTGCTGCATTTCAGTTGCAGACATTTTGTTTCGTGGACTTGCTGTTCCAGTATGAAACATGGTCTCTAACAAACTTTTTACCTGAGGCGTGAGTCATTTGACTGATGTTTTCCTTTTCTTTTGCTTTTCTTTAAGACACTAACCAGCGACGAATTTTTGACAACTAATATATAAAAGTATAAGAGAAGAATTCCGAATGGAACAAAGTAAGTGAAAGTGATATAACGAAGAAACAAAAGAGAACGAAATTAGAAAAAAGTATTGAAAGTGAGAAAAAGAATTATAAAGGGAAGTGAATGGAAAGAACGAAGGTAAGAAAAATGCTGAGAAAGGGTTAGGGGTGAAGCAATAGAAAAAAAAATAAGAAAATGGGGATAATATGGAAGAAAACAAGAGTGCAAAAAAAAATAATAATAAGGAAAAGAACAAAAGGTGAAAGGAAAAAAATAAGGAGGAAAGGCGAAAATGAGAACGAATTAAGGCGTGAAAAAAGATGAAAAATAAAAAGAAATGTGAAAGGTAAAATATGAATAAATATGAAATATAAAGTGCTACAAATAAATAAAAGTAAACGAAATGGAAAATGAAAGATGTAGACGAAAGTGTAAAGATAAATAAAATTGAAAAAATAAATAGTGAGAAATCAAATGAGATCGTAAAAAATAAAGTAAAAATACATAAATAAAGACATAATAAATAAACTGAAAATTTAGAATATGAAAAAATATGAATGAATTGAATAAAAATTTGTAATATAAATAGATGCGAAAAACATGATCGAAAGTAGACAATAAATAAAAAGTGTGAATATAGATGAAAGCGTAAGGCATAGCGAAAGTATGAAATTCAGTAAACATTAGATAAATTCGATAAATTCGCAAAGAAATAAAAATAAAAAATAAAACTATAACCCTTCAGATTCGGTATAAATTTCTATTTCCGCTGTATTGGTCAAGTCGATTGTTTTCTGGATTATAAGTGGCTATTTTTAGCTATTTGTTTATTGAGTACGAAAAAATTTTAGCAAATTACATACGAGATCATCGTTCTTGTCTTCATTTACTAACTCTTCATTCGACAAAACTATAAAATTATATAATTAGTATTAATATTCAAACAGAGATATTACTATAAGTTACCAAGTGCCAGATAATAATTCTATTGCTAATAAGGCCAGACCCACTTTATTTTCTGATTAACATTAGATGACTTGTAAGAAAGGGTGGGGTATTGAAAAGAAACATATATTGATATTACATAAAAACCAGTACAGTGAAACCTCTCTAGATACACTCTCTTTAAATGCACAAACTCTCTAAGCGCATTCTTAAATTCCAAAACATTTTTAATCTCTTCATGATCAACCAAAGAAGTTTTTCCATTTTCAGGAATACCAGATACAAAATCTGAAGGCATAATCATGTGAGATTCAATCATCGATTGTTCTTGTCTAATCGAATTCAACACTCGAACGACCAAGGATTTGAAAGCGCATTGATAGGAAGATTGAACGGTAGACATTTCATCGATGTGGCCCGAACATATCTTAACCTTCATAAATGCGCTTTTACTTACTGTTTTCTAAATGTGTATTATAAAAATTCGGTTCTTATAAGGTGTATTTGGAGAGGTATAACTGTACTGTGAATTTCTTTGCTAATTGAATGTATGTAGATTTAAAAATAGAGGAAATTGGAACCTTTGCTAGGAAAATCACCATTCGACATTTTTTAATAGGGCTAATTCTGGTTCTTACTTGCATGTAAATCATCTTTTGTTTTTATTAACAATAGTTTATCAAATAAACTATTGAGTTAATAAAGGCAAAGATGATTTATATGCAAGTAAGAACTGACACGTTGGTCTAAGTTTGTCCGAATTAGCCCGATCAGAAAATGCCGAATGGCAATTTTCCTATGACCTATATTGAGTTTTTATAGTTTTTGAAAAATTGAGGTGAAGATTATGCTAAACAGAGCATTAGGTTAATTTCAACAAATGATATTCAAATTTATAAATTTTTGTCACCTTGAATTTCTGGCATTGGCATAGTCCAAGATTTGCTTAGATGGCTATGTGAAGTGATAGTAGGTTCTGGTTTTTTTATAACACGTTTCTTGATGATTTTTTGTATACTTTCAGGTGTGAATTTTTTCCATGAGTTGATTCCGGGTAAAGACCTTGCATAAATATACCCCGCTTCAGTCTCGTTATCAGGCCAAGACCATTCATGCCAATTCCGGATCCCCGCTATTGTTCCTAGTGCCGGATCATTATTACCTATAAAATAGAGATACATTTATTGTTTATTTACATATTATAAATACAAAAAATTATATACGTTGACTTCTATTTGGTTCTAAATGAGCAACATTGGTCCCTGCTATATCCTTTATCACCTTTTCAATGTCTTCGCCAGAGTTTATATCATGACCAAATTTGACATATCTCTTAATAGCATGTGTTATCTAGAAAATCAAAGTTGTAAAAATTAGAATCATAATTTCAGATCTATATCATTCCTCAATTATTTCAACAATCATTTCGTAGACATGACTAGAGCTTACTAATATTTTATTCGAATAATATTCAAATAACTTAGATCAGCAAATATTTATTCGAATATTCGCTGAATTATTCGAATAAATTTTCTTATTCGAATAAAATTTGTCTATTCGAATTATTCGTTAGATAATTCTTTATTCGAATATTTGCCAAATACAAATAACGAATACGAAGCTCTAGACATGACGATTCTGCTGATAAAAAAATTAAGATTAATAATCGGTATACTGATATGGACAAAATTATCGTGAAGAATAATAGTCGAGGAATGACATGGATCCCATAACTTCAATATCTTTTTTTTTTTTTTTACAAACTTGCGCATGATGAGAGTCTATCGAGGTTTTAGCTTCGCCAGCCTCAAGGAATAGCCACTTTCTCACAGAAACATTATACCATTCTTTCCACTTTCTTAGTATTATCATCAACTCAGTATTGTGATAATGAGGGCCGTTGTCCGAAACAATAGTAATCCATTTTGGCATCTGATTCAAGGTTTCAAGTACAGCGTGAAGGAAGGATGCAGTGAACCAAGTATCCTGCTTGGTATCACCACTCCAATGATCAAATGCTTGAATATCAAGTTTATTAGTTTCCACATTTTTGGTATATATAAGCACAGAATGTAGCATCCATCCGCGTTTTCCAAAGAACTCAGGTTTAGTTTCTCGTGCACTTTGCGGAAGGATTCTCATTTTGTAATCTACAATAAACAAAGCCCCATCCGAATCAAGTTGAGCAAGTTCAACATTTAATTGCGCATTAAGATACGTCTTTCGTGCATGATGTGCCATAAAATTAATTAGTTGACTTTGATGCTCAATTAAAGATTCATGAAGCTCATTATCCACATTTGCCTTTAGATCATCAAAGAGGACAAATAAGTTATTACAATTTTTGCAAATTTCTGGATGATCTAAATGGCAATTACTAAAAGCGTGTTGGAGACAATAACTTATGCATGGTGAGTGTAAAGCAACACCTGTTGATGATACTCTAAGGTTGGTGGCAAAATCTTTACGCAGGTATCTTCGTAAATTTT